TCATCAATTACTCAAATTCACATGCTCATTTCAATTATCCCATATTAACTCAATACACTCATTCCCTAGGGTTTTTAGAGGAACCCATGGTCAATCCAAGATTTACAAGATTAGTAATTACATATCATTTAACATACATACCAATTAACAACATCAATTAGAATACTAGAGAATCATATAAAACATAGAATTACAAGTCATGATTAGAAATTGAGATAACTCTTTCATACAACATGTACGACAAAGAAAGAGATTGAGGGTCAATCTTACTACCCAACATATATCTCATGTTCAGAGCAAGACTACTTACTCCCTTTTACCTTGATAAACACTCAACAATGAACGCAAGATTTTAGGGTGATTGCCTTATTGATCTTAGATAGTTCTTTAGTTTCTTTAGAGCATAAAAAGACATGTGTAAGCATGAAATACTAAAAGAATAACTTTTTATAAAAAAAAATGCTCCTTCACTCATTTTGTGACATCCTCTAGTTCACATGCATAATATAATAATTATAAAAAGAAAATATTACTCTTGAGTAACTTCAAACAAAGGTAAAGAGTATCCCATTTGAAATTCAAATAAACTAAACCAATGCCTAACTATAATAACTTTAAGGAAAGTAAACTAAAATTCCTAAAATAGAAAGCATGAAACATGATTCAATATCTCTGATATCACAAGTATCACAGCTCTCCCTTCAATCAATTAGACTCCTCCAAAAAGAAAGAATCCTACAACCACATATAAACATCCATAAGGAAAAATAGATGAGTGAACACATATTTCATTCCAACTACCGTGTAAAATAAGGTCGAGTAGCCACATACAAATATTATATATAAAACCAATAATTAAACTCCTCATAAATCCATACAATAATTTGAACTCAATTTATATCTCATTCAATCACGATATCAATCAAAACACAAGTTAAACACAAACAAAATGTTATGATCGTACATAAACTAGACTCTCCTAATCTATATGTATGTGGCGTCGTGAAAAACATTTTTCCCTACTCGAAGGATGAGTACTCTAGGAGGATGTGCCGAGTCAAGAATTCACAATGCTCTCACTAGAAGGATATACTAGAAGGATCTCGTTGGGATAGTTGAGTCACGCAAGATACGTCCACCCCATGCACATAATGGGCAAGACTGGGGCTTCCTTAGCCAAACTATCCTCAAGGACTATTTTCCAAGCTTTTACACTAGGAGGTTTTCCCTAGCGGTGTATTCAGTATCGTACCTATCACAAAACACAAATGCACATTAATTGTTGCATGTTTGAAAAGTGTACCAAACATTACTGTAGTAATAATATTATCGCCCTCAGGGATTGAATTTGTTGAATACTAAATTATTAACTTACGTTAATTTTGAGCAATCGAAAAACAGATGGAACAACGAACATAGAAAATTAACAAAAATTTACTCAATATTAAAATTGTTAGAGAATTGATTTCACATTCTTTCCTATAGATTCTTACCCTTTTCAATTGATGTAAGAATCGTAATTACCCACTTGAGTTTATTACTAGTTGTTTACCCGTAATCCCTTAGGCAAGTAAATCTATTCATTGAACCCTAATCCTCAATTCCTTAGGACAATTATGAAATTCAATAGAATCATGAAGAACAATTTTCATCTCAAACACAAACTAATTAGATATGCCCAACTTCACAATTGTGACAAAACCTAATCTGTTCTATCTATAATCGTAAACAATCCCCAATCTCCCAATTGTAAAATTGTTCATAGAATAAACATTAGAGTCATGGATAAAACACTAGGATGATTAAAATTAACTAAACATCAATTGAAAAGGTTCAGAAACTATGATCCAGAATATTACATCAATACTCTAACAAAAAGAAAATTAGTTCTACATAATGTAAAAGGAAAAACCAAAAGAGACTGATGAGTCATTCATCTTCTGATGGTGAGTTGATCTCCTCTTGATGAGTCGTTCCTCTCCTTGACGATTAGTTTTTTTTTTTCCTTCTAATTATTCCTCTTTTATTTTCAAACTTTTTTTAATTCCTAAGAGTTGTCTTTTCCTTTTCTTTTCATTTGGCCCAAGCCTACAACCTGCCTATGGAATTTTCTTACTTCAACTTTTCCATTTTGATACTTGCTCTCTTTAAATCATGATTTAAGCACCTAAAACACTTATTTACAAAGAAAAATAAGAAAACCAAAAGTGTAATATAAAACAAAGATAATGCATGATAAAATCATTCAAACAATGCAATAATATATGCAAATGGCCTAAACTAAAGTATGAATGCAAAGACAATTTATACACATATCACACATGATACATGATATTCAAAACTCAATGCATTACTATACGAATTCACTTACCACATATCATTCATAATACATTATGGTTTATCACTTATCACAATTATTTATATACACAAACCACCTAGACATACACATATATAAGTAGGTTTAAACAAAGAATCGCACCTTACGAGACACACACTATGCCTAGTGAGACATACCCTACACTCAGTGTGTGTGAGGCCGTGAGCCACTAGAAGGAAATCATGCTCGACGTGATCTCCCCCACACTTGACAAGATGTATCTAGAGGATCTCTAGAGCTCTTGTGCTCATGCTCGTGCCTAATGTCAATAACAACACAAGTACTTTAGATTTTCTTATGAATACCATGAAATTTAATTCAGTCATCTAAGAGTCCTTGGAGTGATTACAAGTTTTAGGCATTATGTCTCGTGCACAAAACATGAGACCTGTATTGTGACTCACATAACTTGGTCATTTCTTAATATTTTTATGTGATTCTTTAGTTTAAAATATAGCCCCAAATGTCTAGTTTCTAAGCCAACAAAGGGAACTCTATTTGGTTAATCATGTAGAGAGAAATTACCTAAATACTGATATATGTTCATACCATAATTTATGAATTAAACAAATTGCACAAAAACTCTCAAATCATATATAAACCCTAACTCCTAATATATCTATACACATCCTTTTATTTTAATTCTCAATTCAATCGATTACAAACATAAGTAGCACTTAAAATATACTTTTATACCATCAATTAGTCAAACGCATACATTATTTTCATAATTCATCATCAATTTTATCAATTTTCACTCTTCTTTGGAATTTAAGGGTTTCTATGGGCACTTATAAATTTACAAATAATCTAAATCAATACAATTCATTTCATATTAATACAAAGATCATCCACAAAGCATACGAATCATGCGTAGCACAAATTCTCATCATACAAATCAAAACCATAAATTTCCCGTAGAATTAGATATGAAAGCAAAAAAGGATTGTAATTCCCCAACCTAACACATTAATTGACTCTAAAAGAGAAAACTCTCACTCTCCCTTACCTCGATAAATGCTAGAAAAAAGGTGTGGATCTTTAGGTACTCTAATTTTCCCAATTCTTTATAATGCAAGTGTAGAAAATAGAATAATGAAAAGTGTATTTGAAAACTATTGTAACCCCCTTTTTAAAATTTAGTCCACAATATTAACCTTTCAATAAGACAATTTAACGGTGATTCTCTTTTCCCTCCCTCAATAATATTAATACTTATAAATAATATGTAAAACAAAATATTTCTCCAACTCAATTATGAAATAAAATATATAAAATATATATTTTTAAAATACATTTAATTACATAATTAACTAAAACACAAATTTTCTCCAAACACTTTTGATAACAAAATAACTTTGTAAGCCTTTCTTTATTTTAATTAAAAACGCTAATAATTATTAAAATCCTCCATAATATTTTATAAAATCTCTTTAATTAATTAAAATTTTTAGAAAACTTAAGGTATTACAACTAAAAAGTGGTTATTTAAAGAGGGAGGATTGGAAATTGAATATCTTTGAAGTAGTAAAAAAGAGAATAAATAAATTAATAAAAGATAATGAAAGAGAAAATGATTTAAAGGTAGTTATAGGGATGAATTAGTAAAAAAATTGTGTGCACTAAAATAAGGTAAAGTTTATTTCTTAGATGTTAATTGTTTATTTCTTAATATGATTAATAAAATAATTCTTTTATTGTATTATTAAAGATAAAATAAGAGAAAAATAATTATGATTCATAACTTAGCTAATTATTTATTAAACATCATATACTAAAACGTGATATATTTAAACACATTTGTGTGATTGATACATGTGTTTTAAACTTTGAAAGTTTGTAACATGAATTTGACATATCTGATTCAAAATAACTATGATTAGATTCAATATTTATAATAATGATTTAATATAATTAGTGATTTGATAATTTGGTTCCTCTAAAATAAAAAGTACACTTATTTTAAAGGATAAAGTGTAATGATAATTATTAATTATTATATTTTGAAATATATATATTACGTCAATTTTATTTTATAAGAATGAAATATCAAATCATCTTGGATTAATATAAAATTTTGTATATATGATCTAAGAGTAAAGAACTTTTAATTTAACGGTTGAATTTACAAAATTCACATTTAATATAAAGTTATTAAGTGATATAATACTTAATAAAAATTATACCGATATTATTATAACTCTCCCTCTATATATATATATATATATGAGAAGGGTTCAAATGATACTGATATAATTTTTACTAAGTATTATACCGCTCAATAATTTTATATGAAATGTGAATTTTGTAACTTTTACCAAGTATTATTTGTTGAATATTACATTGATATCGTTTGAACCCTCCTATATATATATTATACATATAATTAATTATAATTAGAATAAATTTTTTTTATAATTAGATAAAAAAAACACCGTGAATCAACTTTAAGAGGAAATAAGTTATTAAAAAATAATTATATATTTAATTTTTCAAAATTTTGAAAATAACTTATTTTCATAAAAAAAAAATTATATACAAATTTAAATTATTCACAGGCAGATTAATTTTACACAAATACTGCTTAAAGTTGAAAGAATAGTCGATTTTCGAAGCACACTTATATCTTGTAAGTTCATGCTGTGTTATGTTTGAGAACTTGCTTGAGTTGAGCTTAAAGTTGAAAATGAGAAGAGGAACGTTCCACCAATGATCGTTAGGGTTTGGTGGCATCATCATTCTTCATGTCTTTCCTGCGCCGATGTGTTTACCCTATCAAGTATCTACCTTTTCTCTTTCCCCTCCATTTTGACTTCCATTTTCATGCATTTGCATATATTCATTGCTTGTATTTCTATTTCATATAAACCTAAATTCATAAATACTGTTATCTCTAATCATTGTCAGTTTATGTTGTCCTTTGATATATACTTGAATCCCCCTCTTTTTTTTTTTTTTTTTTTTTTTTTTTTTTTTTCTATATGGCATAATAGAAATAAAATGTTGGTAAAAAAAAAATTGCTTTAATTTTGTGGTGAAAATTTCAGATTTTCAGCCATGTATAATATACAGTTGTTATTGTTCCCTTATTCTTAGGAAACAAGGACATGGCGTGGAGCTTTCAGGATTATTATTATGTGGGATAAAACATGATACCCTGAGTTATTTCAGTGGTGAAAACCTTGGTGGGTGTTATCCTGCTCTGTTAGGTGCAAAATGGCTTTGTTTAAGAGAGAAAAGTTACCATACTTCGCCCGTTGTTGGAAAATTCTTTCTGGGTAGTCGTGGGTTGTCTTCACATGTTAGTGAAAGAAGTTGCAATGAAAATGTTTTGAAAGAAAAATTTCGGGAACTTGAGAAAACCCTCTCAGCTAAGCTTACTGAGGATATTACCATGGAGGAAGAAGTCGATCAGGAATCTAATCCAGAACCTAGACGCCTTGATGATCCTTTGTCGGAATCTGAGAATGACCTTTACCTTAGCTATCGTGAGCCTTTAAGAAGAAAGGCTTCTTTGGAATTGTTAAGAACCATTATGGACAGTCCAGCCTGCTACATTCCCAGTATTGTGAAAAGATTTGTTGAAGCAGAGGAGGATTTGAGCCATTTAGAGGCTTCAAAGATTGTATTTATTCTCTGGAAGCATCACATGTATTACAAGGCATTGCAGGTGCTTTCACTTATTTCTCTTAGGTCTCTTAGCATGTTTTCTTTGAATTTTATGAGTGGATTCATAATGGTAATTGGTTAATCAAAATGCTAGTGTGAGGTTTTGTTCTTCTATTGTACTTTTAAATGTGTATATATATTTAAATGACAAACTATTGGTGTCAAGTGTCTTCTTGGAGTTCAGTATGCTATTAGAATACCGAATTGGTTTGTGCGCTTCTTGGTTCAGAGGTTCCAGAGACCAGCTGTATCCAATGAAGCTGTATTTTATTTTTAATATGCTGTATTTGATTTAATACACCAAATACATGCTTTTGCCCAACAAGTTATTGAAATAAATGGTTTGACTTGATATTGTAGCTTCGATGAGTAATGTGTTTTCTAGGGTTACTGCTTCATGCAATGGTTCACTGCTGTACTTAATAAAATAAGCCTTTCTTCCTAGTCTATATTACCTATGTTTGAACTTCCATCTATTGTTATCTTTTTTGCAGATGTCGGAATGGTTGCAGACCACTAAACAATTTGAGCCCACTGAAAATGACTATGCTTCGCATCTTGATTTAATAGCCAAGGTCCAGGGAGTTGATGTTGCAGAGAAGTACATGGAGAATGTTCCAGACTCTTTCAGAGGTGAATTATTGTACAGAATTCTATTAGTAAACTGTGTCCGTGCTGGCAACCGGGGAAAATCAGAGGCAGTTTTTGAAAAAATGAGAACTTTAGGTTTTCCAATCACTATCTATACTTTGAATCAGATGATCATTCTGTACAAGAAGTGTGACAGAAGAAAGATACCCGGTATATTATCATTTATGAATAAGGAAAATTTGACTCCATCACATCTTACATACAGGATCCTGATAAATACCAGAGGTGAAACTGGGGACATAATAGGGATGGAAAAGTTAATTGAGGATATGAAGTCTCATGATTTGCAGCCTGATATTTATTTCCTGACAGACTTGGTTAGATGGTATATTTCCGAGGGATTGAAAGATAAAGCAATTGCTATATTTAAAGAAATTGGAGAAGGAAACTCACATGAATGCATTAGGGCACGCAATAAACTGTTATCTCTCTATGCTTCACTTGACATGGCTAATGATGTAAGTAGAATTTGGAACCATTGCAAGTCATACCCCACAATGCTGGAGTGTGAAGCTGCTATAGGAGCATGGGGCAAATTGGGCCAAGTTGAGGAAGCCGAAGCAGTATTTGAAATGGCGATGCAAAAATTTAAGGGCCTCTCATCCAGGCTGTTTTCTGAACTTCTGAGAGTTTATGCTCTGAATAACCAGATATCTAAAGGTAAGGAATTTATTGAGCGAATGAGACATTTTAGATGTTGGTCTGGTCCACTGGTTTGGGATGGACTAGTGAGATTCTATGTGGAAGCTGGGGATGTAGGGAAGGCAGCTTCAATTTTAAGTAAGGCAGCCGAAAGGCAAAGTGGGGGCGCAGTAAAGCCATTATTCAACTCTTACATGGTTGTGATGGAACAATATGCAAATTGTGGAGATGTATATAATACTGAGAAGTGGTTCCATAGAATGAAGCAGTGTGGATACACTGGTCGTCTTAGGCCATTTCAGATTCTGATCCAGGCTTATTTAAAGGCTAAAACTCCTGCTTATGGACTCAGAGAAAGAATGAAGGCTGAAAATGTATCCCCAAATAAAGAATTCAGCATACAGCTGTCAAAAATTGATGCACTAAAGAGGGAGATGTTGCTGAAGATGTCTTCCACTTGATGCCTCCATAGTATTTTTCTCACCTGAGCTCTTTTTGAAGAGAACCAAGTAAGATGCTCTTAATAAATGTGTTGGGGGAAAAGAAGAGTGGATGGCTTTGCCTGTACTCAAATTACAAACCAGACATGAGCATTGCTGACTTTACTTTGGATCATTAGGTACAACTTTTTCATGACAAATGGACCAGTTCTACATTCAACAAAGATACAACCCTTTAGTAGAGATTTTTCCTTAGTTTTGGACACAACTCCTATGAAGGTGTTATCGTGTTAGTATTATCATGGCTTTTATTGCTGGATAGGTTACCAACTAGAATGGCTCTACATTGGCGGAACATTGTCCTTAATGTGCAAGAAACCAAATGTGTTTTATGCAACTTGGCTCGTGAAGTTACATGCCACTTATTTCTCTTGTTCTTTGTCCTTTAATGTTAGGTTTGCTTTCTATGCTTGGAATGGTTTTCAGGTCGTTTCGCTGTCCATGGGAGCTGCACATTATTTGCTGTCCATGGGAGCTGCACATTATTTGCACAATATGGCAGCAAGAAAATAACATAATCTTCTAACTAGCTTCCTTTGACTTTCTACAAATGATGGATTCCATAAAATTCCTGTCTTGGATATGGTTGAGAGCAAAGTCAGATAATCCAAATATTGCAATGATAGATTGGCGCCCCAACCCTTTGGAAAGCATAACTCGATAATACCAATATAATTTTTTGCATTTGCAGCTTTTCTCTGATTGCCTTCATGATGGTTTGAGGTTCCGAGTTTTCTACACGATTGTATTGATGTCAGCATGGAGTAACACATCACACGAACACGGACATCTACAGTAAACAGAGGCAGTGATTCATTCCTCCATACAAAGTTGACTGTTATTCGACATGATTTTTTTTGAACTCTATTTTGATAGATTGTTTGGTTGGAATACTAAAGTAGACAAATTGGCACGTCCGTACAGATTAGATCCATAGATACCTTTGGGTCTAAGTTCTTCGGTGAATTACTAGGTGGGGTTCAATATTCTGCTGTGGAGTTGGAGCCCTACTGCAATATTCTGTTGTATTTTCAATGTGACGTTGTGTCAAATTTGCGTTCTGTTAGTGTTTTCACACTTGTGTTTAGCACTTGCCAGTTTAATAAAGTATGCATTTTTTAAACACGTTCTTTTGACAAATTTAGTGCTAGGAGTTGCCATTTTCTGCCATTTCAGGTTTTGGGTTCAATTTTGACTCGACCCCAATCCAAATTGCTTTAAATATCTTTTCAGCTAGTTGGGGCTTAGCTATAAGTTCGTTATCCTCTCTTGGTGAATAAATTCTAGAGTCCGCATGAGAAATCAGTTTAACACTTGAATACGGGGGAAAAGGTAACATTTTCAGCTTACGAATTTTATCAGTTATCTAGTATGGACTTTTTGCTTGGAGCTTCAACAACTGTCGCCAATATATAGTTAACAGTTAATTAATACAGTAACACTTGTAGATTGGGCTGCAACATTCAGCATTCAGTTTGTGACTTTTTAAGAAAATGCTGTTTAAAATCAACAAAAGAAAATTGAAACCAAAATGGAGATGGAGTTACACCGATCGTTTAAGTGCCTTTCTTAATGAAAAAACTGATCCTCTGTACAATCGTTGTAGTGGCGCAAAACCATACATCTCTCCACTTGTTCATATCAGACACTTTTCATACAGGTCTATAATTATAATGCATCCCCTTCTATTTTCTAAGGATATTTCTGCCCTTACTTTTGCAATAAAATGTTGCATCCTCGTAATTTTCCTCCCTGGCATTGACTCTAATGATGCAACAATTGACGAACTCAACCCCATTACAAACAGAAAAACAATCTGTGGACACCTAGACCATAACCCCAGCACCCGAAGTTAAAATAACCCAGAAACAAATCTTCCAAGGAAGAAGAAAACACTCCTCAGTCAAACAAATAAACTATACAATCATAAACTCCTTCAACCATATTAAAGAAAAGAAAAAAAAAATGATATACAACATGAAAAAGGACCAAGCATTACTCATTATTTAGCATCATATAGAAAGGCAAGACTAAACCAACAAAAGGACTTTCACCTCATGGTTCAGCTCACAAAAATCAATCAGAACTTAGGAAGTTCCGTCTATACCAAAGTTTAAAGAAATCAAAAAAATTACAGCAACCATTATCATTACCATTATCTCACAAGCCAGATATTACTTGGCTCACAAACTCGAGTCAATCACTAAAGAAACTCACTCGCAGCATTACAGCACTGCAAGTAGTGAATAAGTGACTGACTCCTTATACTGCAATTGAAAACCTTAATTCATTACCCATCTTCTTCTGCAAAATCGAGAACCTGACAAACATCTTTCTCATCAATGCTGAAAAAAGGCTTCTTCCCTACCAACTCCGCAACTCTTTTGGCAGCCCCAGAGTCTCTGGGGCTATCATTCACACACTTAACCGTCCTAATCTTTGGAAGCACTGCCACCGCTGTGGTCGTCGCCGTGGCAGTGGCCATAGTTTCCTCTTCTCCCCCATTCTTGGGAATCTCCCACCTCTTCTTAACCCTAACCTCACTCCCTCCCTCAGGCAAAGACCTCTTCTTCACATCACAACAGCTATTATACCTACTCGCCACCACCCTCCCCTGCCTCAACAACCCCTTCTTGTTACTCTCACACACCGCTTTCACTTTCTCCCTCTCAAACAACTTCCTCGCCTGAGCCTGACCCACCAACGCCGCTTCATCTTTCTTCTTCACTCTCCCAACCGTTTTCGCCCTCGCTTCCTCCTCGATCTCCGGAAGCTTCCAGAAGCACGACTTCCGCCGACTCTGCACGGTCGCCGGCGTCGCCGCAATCTCCGCCGGTCCCAGACTCATCCCACGCCGCCAACTATTGTTATTATTGTTGTTATTACTGATCTTCACCTTCGCCTTCGGCGTTTCCTCGGGCTTCCTCGAAACGACGGCGTTGGGGCGCGGCTCCATGAACTTGGCCGGCACCACCCTTCCGACGAGGCGCTTGGCGCGCTTGGCCTTCTCGAGGCGGAGCGCGTCGAGGCGCGTGGTGAGGCGCGTGATCTCGCGCTGGATGGCTTCGATCTCGGCGTCGATGGAGGTTTTCTTGGAGGAGTGATTGGGTGCGGGCGGGCTGAGGTTTTCCTTGGTGCAGTCGGAAGAGGACCAAGAAGTGTTGATGGGGAGGAAGGGGTCGTGGTCGTCGAATGCGGCGTTGTTCCACACTTGAAGCTGCGTGGCGTTGTTCATGTTTTGTTGAATGTTGAAGGACGAGGTTGAAGGTTTTGGAATCTGATTCTTGTTCTTGTTTTGGAATGGGGAATTATTTGTATTTTGAGATAATGTGACCGTTGGGGATGGGGATGGGGAAGGAAGAAATCAAATTAGACGTTGGGGGGAAGTGGGGAAGGAGAAGCGCTCCATCGTGGCCGTTGGATGGGAAAACGGCTCCTCATACACGCTCCGATACGATTTAAAGAAAATTTAATTATGTAATTGAGAAATTTTCATGTTTTTTTTTACAGTATTTTATTTTATTCTCCATAAGTGCATGGTATAATGTCTCATGAAAGAAATTATTAACTAGTTCAATACTATAAATTTTTTATAATTTCAACTAATTAATTAATATACGATGTAATAACCTGTTTTGATTCTTATGTGGTACGACATAGATATTAGTAACAAAAAAATATTTAATTTAAAACTACATGCTTGTAAATATGAGAAACGTGTATTATATTATATCTATACTAATATATAAAATGAATATCTTTTTCGGTAATTATCTTGGTCTCCACTTTTTCTTACTATTATACCCTTTTATTTTAAAAAATTAGAAAGAATATTTTTAATCAAATTTAAAAACTTCAAACTAATAAATCTATACTAATATATAAAAGGGATATCATTGTTAATAACTATTTTTGGTTTTTATTTTTATACGGATCATTTTATCATTTATTTATTTTTTAATAATTATTTTTTTATGAGTAACTTTTCATTTTTTTCATTTTTTTATTTTTTTTAATACAATGCAGGCACGTAGTGCCTTTTTTCTACTAGATAAATAATACAATCGTATAAATAATTTTACAAGAAAACATATCTTATAGAAAAGAATAGAGGAACAAATATGCGCGAACTATTTTTGTTCCTTTCGATTCGTATAAACATATCTATACTAATATATAAAAGGGATACCCTTTTCGGTAACTACTTTGGTCTTCACTTTTTCTGACTATTATACCATTTTATTTTAAAAAATTTAAAAAAATATTTTTAATCAAATTTAAAAACTTTAAACTAATAAATCTATACTAATATATAAAGGGGATATCATTGTTAATAATTATTTTTTTATGAGTAACTTTTCATTTTTTTTTCATTTTTTCATTTTTTTTAATACAATGCAGGCACGTAGTGCCTTTTTTCTACTAGATAAATAATACAATTGTATAAATAATTTTACAATAAAACATATCTGATAGAAAAGAATGGAGGAACAAATATGCACGAACTATTTTTGTTCCTTTCCATTCGTATAAAGATATCCCCTTTGCATGAATTATCCAATACGAAGTGTCTCGGTCCCACTAGATAAATAATACAATCGTATAAATAATTTTACATTACTTATTACTATTATACTTTGAATGTAAAAAAAAATCTTATATCTTCTAAAATTTCTAATATTTGTCTATGTATAATTATTAGAGACACGAAGTGCCTCGACTCGTCTAGTGTATATAAAGATAAACTACATAAATATATGCAATATAAATATAGTAATTAATTAAATGTAAATCATACAACCTAAGTTGTCAATTAAACAATTATTACTATCTATGTAAATCCACCTTTATTAGGTAGTCAACAAAACATCCTGCTCCAAGTTACTGAATGACTTCTACTACAACACTCCATACCTATCCGTGTCTTGCTTTCATATCATGTATGATTATTACAATCCAAATCACATAGAAACACGCAAGGATAAGCAAGAATGTCACACTTACATCCCATATCCAACAACACAAGGCATCATCACATGTAAAAAAAAAAAATTCATTTTTTTTATAGTTTTATTTTATTCTAAATAATTGCATAGTACAATGTCTCATGTAAAAAATTATTAGCTAGTTCAATACTATCAAATGTGTATAATTTCAACTAATTAGTTTATATAAAATGTAATGATCTGTCTTGATTTTTACGTTGTCTAAATACAGTTACTAGTGGCAAAAAATATCTAGGCCTTTTGGCCTTAATAAATTAAAATAAATAAATATTTTCATAAATAAAAATAGTTTAGAGAAAATTTTATCGAAATAAATTATTTTGGCCACATGGACATATATAAGGAAAACGTCAATGTGTTGGACGACAACTAATTACAAGGAAAACGTCAACTCCCTTGACATTTTCTTCCTTGTTCGAAGTCGTCTATGGAGGTGACGACTTGTGTTCAACGTGTTCACAAGTTTAAGGTTTTAAAGGTTAAAGATTTAGGATTTGGGCTGTAGTGTTTTCGGTTTATTGAGTTGAAGGTTTAATGTTTAGTATTAGGTTATAGGTTTTAAAAGTTTGGTGTTAGGGTTTAATGCTATAAATTTTAGGGTTGAGAAAATAAGGGTGAATGTCTAAGGTTTAATTTTATGGTTTATATAGTTGAATGGTTAAGGTTTAATGTTAGGTTTAATTTTCTTTTAATCATAATTACTACCAATGCACAATTCTCGATATAAATTAGCAAGTACGATTAATCTCCAACTTAGTTGACCACATTGGTCTAAATCAGTTAGCATTACCAAATATCGCATCGATATTAATGTTGAAGACTTGTAAGAGAAAAACATACTCTTAAGCAATTGTAAAATATAAGCTCGAGTATATTGTTCCATTTGTTACACACTCTACATATGTATGAAAACATTAAAAAAGTATTGATTAACCAAAATTATCTTCAACCATCCACCTTTAATTGCATTTGGTGGTGGTGTAATTCCTAATAAATCTTGAACAAGTGGAATCCATCTATACGTCGAACAATCAGTAATTGGGTCTCCATGTACCTTAAGACCAAACAAAATTGAAACATCTTCTAAAGTAATTGTACACTTCCCAAATGTCATGTGGAAAATGTGTGTTTTGAGTCTCCATTGCTCAACTAGTGCTGAAATTAAGTGGTGGTCAATAAAAAAGTATGACATCTCTGTCACTCCGAGCATTCTTGCTCGTGCAAAAAAGGTCTAACTTCGTCAGGAATTGACCCATCTTGATGGTCGCTTTTGGTAGCTCTTCTAATACAAAAAACTCTATTAGATTGACCATTCCATACGTGCTCAAAAACATACAACTGATTGCATACTCAATAATGAATCATCAATGGGTCCCAGATTAACTTTTTGACGAGGCATTATGAAATTATAGTTATTAACTATATAGTATCCACAATTGGTAAATCAAAATTAAAAACTAAAATGACAAATAAATATTAATTTGGTATATATACACACAATTATCAAATATAAAGTCAAATCTATAAATTAATCAACTTCATTATACACAATCAAGAAGTGCACGCGTAAAATCGAAATAATAAATATTTAAGCCCCTAAATAATGAAAAATCAATTAAACCCTAAATAAAATAATTTTATCCTCCTTCATGAAGATCAAATAATTAAAACCATAGAAACAAAAAAAAAATTTAAACTTCAATTTAATTTACAAAAAAAATAATTTCATATAAATTAAATTATATAACACATAACAAAAAAATTCATTCCAAATCAAAACTACAACTAATCACTCTTCTATTTCTCAACATCAACATCAAAAAATTAAAACCATGCAAAATTACAACTATTCACTCTTCTATTTCAAAAAACACTTAGAAAATCTAAACTCCTAAAAGTTTGAATCATCAACAACATCAACAATTTTTCACATAATAAAATCTAAAACCTACAAATATACATGAAAAAAAACAAAATATTATTATTATTATAAAATTTTACAAAAAAAAAACACACCTCACTAATCTCCTCCTCCTTCTCTAAAACAAAACTAAAATTTGAATCATTATCATCAACAAATTTTTCATATAAAAAAAATCTAAAACATAAAATTATACATGGAAAAATAAAAAATATTAATATTAAAAAAAAAAAAATTACCTTCTCCTTCTTCACCACTTTCTTCAAACAACTCTCATTTTCTTTTTTGTCACTTTCTCCTCTCCTTCTCTTCTCTTCTCTCACACTCAGCCATGCTAACATTTTCTATTTCACTGATCATTCATGGAAGCTTGCAAGGCTTCACTTGTAGTGACAGTTTTTGGCATGCATGCAAGTCGTCAACATCGGTGATGTTTTGCGGCTTTCCATGTGGCAGAAACAATTTACTTTGATAAATTATTTTCCAAATAATTTATTCTAAAAATTAGTTTTTTATTTTATTTTATTCAAGTTAAAAAGCCAAATATCTAACTTAAGACTATAGGTTTACAAATACGAGAAACATGTACTACATTACATGTATACAAAGATAAACTACATAAATATATGCAATATAAATACATTAATCCAATAAATGTAAACCATGCAACCTAAGTTACCAGTCAAGAAACTACTACTATCTATAAAAGTCTACCCTCATTAGGTAGTCAACAAAACATCCAGCTCCAATGCCACTACATGACCTCCACTACAACACTTAACACATATCTCTGTCCTACTTTCATACCACGTATGATCATCACAGTTCAAACCACATGGAAATATGCAAGGGTAAGTTAGAGTAAAAAGAAATAACATATATACAACATAAGAATGTAACATCTACATCCCATCTCTAGCTACACAACATAAGACATCACATTACACAACATATATCAACACAATAACTTAGTTTCAACACAACATTTCATCATAGATCAACACAGCCTATGAACAACACAATCATCTCAACACATCATATGCTCAACACAACAACTATATGCACTATCACGTATTTCAACTTGGAGATATCCTACAACATAGGATGAGCAATTTAAGTGGCTTGATCCTACCGAATTGACAACACATGGTGATCTTTTTGGACTTCTTAGATCAACAACGTATTGGATATAAATCCACAACACAACTCATTTTGTCAAGTGTCGCCACTTAAACAAGGAAGTATAGTACTATTGTCAGGGTAAAATAGTTGGATATAGGCCTACACAACATTAGTTATCTTAACTAAGACTCCTATGGGATTAACCCACTAACTACCTTCCAAATACTAAGCACTTCCGATACTCAATTAGGAACTAAGTTTTTGACTTTGTACTTTACTTAATTGGTCA